GAGTTGGGGAATTGGAATATATCGAATATATCGGTGGCTCCGGTACAGCAAGGTTTCCTGCTCACAAATCGCTATTCCCATTGTTCTCCCGTCTTCCTCTTTGAAAGTAAATAGTTTAAAAAGTGACTATGTCGGGCCTGGCCAGAGAGCTCAGTCATTTATAGATAGGATTGTCCTGATCTACCAATTTCTTCGCTCAGGCTGCCCTGTGAGCCCCCACTGCCCGGCTTGCTCTCTCAAGAGCAAATCATTCCGGGAGAAACTGCCGCCACTAAACAGCGCGCACCAGTGAAGGGGCCGCCCTCCGTGTCGCGGCCTCGGGAAGCCGGTGCCCGCCGCTCCCTAAACCGGGACCTCAGGACTGAGAGGCACTCTCCCTGCCAAGCGGCCGTTTGCTGCGCGGAAGCCGCTTCCCCAGGAGGCCGGTTTGCGCGGGTGAAATCAGAGGCGGCTAAAGGGAGCCCGCTGCCCCGAATCCGCTCCTGCCAGGGGGTCACCGCCAGGCACACCGCGGGGTCGGGGCAGCGCGAAGGGCGAGGGGGAATCCCTTCCCCGGGGCTGGGCAGCACCCCTGGCGCTCAAAGAGAAACCAAGAGAGAAACTGCTTCGGAGAAAAAGTCCGCTGGGCGCACCTAGTCCCCAGCAGCCACAGACAAAAGGCGGAGGCCCCGTGGCTGCGGAGCATCTAATGGCGCCAGGACCAACCAAGTTGCAAACAAACTAACACCTGCCGCCCTGAAAGCGTGGACCCGGGAACCGAGCGGTGCTAACACCCAAAGCGGGTCCGGGGTGAAGTCCAATCAGAGATCGCCAGGCTTGGAAATCCCCGGGGCGGACATTGCGCAACATAACGGGTGCAACACTCCGATTTCCCGTAAATGCTTTGAAAATCAGAAAGAAAGCGGAAGTCATCCCCCTACAATGGTATGAGACAGTCCTTTTTTTTCCGTGCTGAAAACCCGTATCAAATCCAACAGAGTCATTTTTAAATTTTTTCTTGAATTTTAGAGAGAGCCAGGGAAACGTCGATTTGTTTTTCCACTTCTTTATGCACTCATTGTTGCTTCTTGTATGTGCCCTGACCCAGGGATTCAACCACAAACCTTGTTATATCCGGAGGATGTTCTAAACACCTGAGCATTCTAGCCAGCGCCAGAGAGAGGCAGGTTTTAAACAATTTATTTACTTTTAGAGAGAGAGGACGGGAGAACAATGGAAACAGCGATTTGTGAGCCAGAAACCTTGGAATACCCTGTGTCTGTTTATACAGAACTGAGCTCACTGAGCTCTCCGAACGGACACCCACTGATATTTCTTTTTAAAAAAATGCATTTTATTGATATTTTACAGAGAGGAAGGGAGAGGGATAGAGAGTTAGAAACACTGATGAGAGAGAAACATTGATCAGCTGCCTCCTGCACATGTGCTACCGGGGATGTGTCCGCAACCCAGGTGCATGCTTTTGACCGGAATCGAACCTGGGACCTCTCAGTTCACAGGCCGACGCTCTATCCACTAAGCCAAACCGGTGCTGGCAATATATTTCTATCTTTCCCTTTCCCCTCCTCTCTGAAATCAATAAAAAATATATAAAAATAAAAATCATATACATATTATACATACATAGAGACATAAACATACAGACAGACACTCACGAGTTCTCCTGGTTTCAGTAGAATAGGATGAATTATCAAGAAGCTTCAACAGAGATGGCTCAGGTTCAGAGAGCTCCACAATAAGGGAGTGGGGCTCAGAGCTGAGCTTTACCCTGGAACTCCCAGGCCCTGGAGGAGGCAGACAGGGCAGTGGGCTCAGGGGTACCAGCACCCGCTACTCACCAGCCTGGGGGTCACCAGGCCTCTTGTCCCCAACCTGCTTCTTGGCCACAACAACTATTGAGAGAAAATTCAGAGCCCACCCTTCCTAGGAAGACAATCTGAAAACGGCCATGCAGCTCAGAGGCTGGGTTTAAGGGCAGCTTGTGAAGGGAACAGAGGAAATAGTTTGCCCTTTACAGAGGTTGGCTGTCAGGACTCCTGACTTTGGGAAACCAATGTTTAGAAGGGGGCGGGGAGGGGCGGGGCTAAATGGGTATTGATTGACTTGCTTGCTGCAGTCTTTAGTTGAAACCTAGGGCTCCAACACCATTACACGTCTGGTTTATTCCGGTTTAGGCTCGAACACGATTACACGTTCTGTTTAGGCTCCAACACAATTAAGTGACATAACTATGTCGATATCTTGAGTAAAGCAATGTTTTACTTTGCACGGACAGATAGCTCGAAGGCTGATCTGCCGCCGGGTGTCCTGCAGAGGAATTTGTCCAGCAGAAAGGCCAATCCGAAAAAAGAAAAGAAAAAATAGAAAGGCGATCTGCCGCAGGGTGTCAGTGCAGAGGAATTTGTCCAGCAAGCCCAATCTAAAAAAAAAAGAAAAGAAAAAAAGAAAGAAAGGCCGATCTGCCCTTGGGTGTCAGTGCAGCGGTATTCGTCCAGCAAAAAGGCAGATCTGCCCTTGGGTGTCGGTGCAGCAGAGTTCAAGTCTACAATCTACTAGATGACAGCATTTCACATTCAAATGGCAACTATTTCTACACCACTACACAAAAGAATGGGGATATTGAAATTTGGAGATCTACAGTGAATTTTCTCTTATTGTTGCCTCTGTGTAATTTCATCCAC